GAACCACAAGAGCCAAGCTACGATGGACAACTGGGCCATCATCAGAGCAGCAGGTGTTGTGGGGCGTTAGTGGTTAGTAGCTTCCAGACGGGTCCAACGAAGGACAACCAGTGAACCAGAGACGGGGTCACGGGCAGCCGAGGCTCAGTGATGAGGTGTGAGTGAAGGCTGATGAATGTAGTCCAGCTCCACAGAAGAAGCCCCAACTGCTGAAAACCTCGTGTCTGAACCACAGTCCATCACAGATTGCTGCGTATGTGACTGCAAACTGGTCATAGTGTCCGTAAACCATAAAAATGTAGAAACTATCTCAGGAGGAGTGTCAGAAAAGTTTCAGGACTGGTGTCACAAAAGATATATTTCAAATCCAAACTACAAGTTTTCACCTTCCAAGTAACCCCCCTGGAGTCTAACGCACTTTTCCAGCCTTCTCTGCCACGCCGCCATGCACTCCTGGAAGGATTCTTCCAGGATCCTCTGTGGCTCCATCATCACAGCCATACTTGATGTCATCCACAGGGAAGAGGAAACAATCCCCTGGAGCCAGGTTTGGTGAGTAGGGAGGTTGCTCCAGCACAGCCATGTTCTTCTCAGCCAGGAACTGTCGGATGCTCAGGGCATTGAACGCTGCAGGATCTCTTTGTAGACGTGCTGGTCGATCGTCTGAAGGGGAGAACTGGTAGTTTGTAGTTTGGGTTTGAAATAGATCTTTTGTGACACCAGTCCTGGAACTTTTCTGACACACCTCGTATTATTCTTCTTGCTATTATTTGTTTTAAAAATGGAAAAACTGGAATCAGCATGTACGACATGTTTTTAAGGGGCCCAGTGATGTTATCAGTGCTGGAAGAATAATGGTGGCTCCATATACGGTGGATATTTTATTATGTTGATTTGAATCATTTTTCCAACAGAACAGCTCGTCACAGAGTTCAAGCAGCGGCTCCATCCACCGCTGAAAGCACCTCCAATGGGCAAGTGAGTGTCAAAGCTGGACAGTGGAAGAAGGTGGCCTGGTCCATCTTGTGGATGACTCGGTTCGTATCATTTACCTGGAGGAGGGATGAGCTATGGGAAGGAGGCAAGTGTGACGCTGTGGACAGCGTTCTGCTGGGAAACCTTTGGACCTGTGTTCTTGTGGAAGTTCCTTTGACACATAAACACTTTTGGAGACCAGCGGTATAAAAGCATTGTCCATGAATACTTTCAGGAACATGGCAAAGACTTAATGACGTTGACTTGGTTCTGCAGATCTCAAGTGAGGAACCTGTGGGACGTGCCAGAAATCACACCATCTGTGGAGGCTCCACCTTGCAGATTCCAGGTAAGTGCTGCTTGTGTCTTGGTAGCTTAAACCACAGCACACCTTCAGAAGTCCAGAACTCAACAAGTCAGAGCTGTTGTAGCCGCATGATGGGACCCTGCACCATATCAGAGAGGAGGTTTTACTATGTATGCATATTTATCCCACTTGTAGGTAGTTTTACAAAGTCTGTCAGCTGCTAAACATTCAGATTTTTTGAGCCTCAAGCTTCTGTAAGTGGCTTCTGATTGTCTGTTTGCTCAGATGTTACAGTTCCAGCTGGAAAAAGCCCGAGCTGGCCGCCTTCCAGCCACTTCTGAGGTCTAATATCTGACTGTAATGTAGCAGCAGGCTGCGATGTTCGGTATCAGGCTGCAGGATTAGTGGTGAGGCAGTGATCACACTGAGACACGCTCAAAGTATTCATGTTCGAGCTCAACAAAAAATATTAGCGCAACACTTCACATCCATCTTTTTGAGTTCTGATGAAATTATGCTCAAGCAGCATAAAGTCTTCAACAGTCAGAGCTCTTATTAATTACCAATTACTTAATGTTGGGTAGAATAAACAAGTTTTTGAGTTGATTACTTGAGGTTTCATGTACTTAACTGCAGTAATTATGCGATTCCTGGCCTCCAAGTGAAGAAAAAAATTTGTTGTCAAGCCAGAACTTAAATATACTAACACAGAAATTTGAGTGTAAAATACACAAAACGATCAGTTGATGCAACTGCCAACATCGTTATGTCAATCCAACCCATCAGCTTGAACCTTAGAACGTTTATCTAAGTCAGTAAATTAGAATTTAATTCACATTTAATTAATAATTCCCTTGAATGACTTTCTAGAGGAGACAAAACTCAGATCTCTTCTTCTAAAATGAGGTAAATTAAAGGGAAAATCTTGTGATATTCTGCTTACAGAAAATAAATCTTATAAAACGAGCCTGAAGTATGATGATCCTCTGAGCCACAGAGCTGTTCAGAACACATCAGTGAGTCACACTGTTGCTCTGAGTGACACTTTCATTACCACCAAAACACATCATGTCGTTTATTTGGTCTCTTCCCGTTGGTTCCACATTCTGTCTGTATTTTAAAGTTGTTTCTGCAGAATGTGCTGCAAATAGGACGATGTGAAGCGCTTTGATCACCGAATGCATCCAAGGTCCTCTGAAGTGTATTTTTAGATGTATTATTATGGTTTATTCTCTGCCAAGAGCGACACCTTCGCCGCGGCATTTGATTGCGCTGCCATCAGGCTGATTTGAACGCGTCCCAAAGTGCAGACTGGCCGCGAGAGTCGAGGGATCTTCCAAAACGCAACCAGCGCTCACCTCAGCTAGAAGGGCACCGGTCTTGGATTTCACGAGCTGCTAAATTTAACGCGGCGCTCTCCCATTAAGCTGCAAGGAGTGTGCGACGTGAGCCGAACTGTCCCACGCCTCCGCTTTACGTTTCCGAGAGCATGAAGAATGTCACGTTTTCAGGACGGCAGGAACATGAAGGAGCACAAAGCATGTTTAAGAGAACAAACAAAACACGAGAGAGGTCAAAATATCCAAAGATCTGGGTCAATTTAAAATGTGAGCTGTAAAGAAAACCTGCTTTCAGATTATAAAACCCGACATATTTACCGGCTTTTAATGTCTAATACAGAAACTCCAAATATCAGAACATATAATTGAACTATTTTACTATTTCACTGCACAATTTCAATGTCAGTTGCACATATCCATTTGTAAATATACACCATGCCGTATATTTATCTAAATACCACAGTTTGTACATATATATATTCTAACAATATATCTGCACTTTATACTCTGCACTATTGCACTTCTGATTAGATGCTAACTGCATTTCGTTGCTTTGTACTTGTACATGTGTAATGACAATAAAGTTGAATCTAATCTAATCTTATATAAAAAGAAAAACACATCCCACTCCACATTTAGATTACATCCATTCAGGTGTGCTTTCCTTCCTTTTTTTTGCAGTTGAGATTTAATTCAAGTGGATTTACAGTTTATTTTTGGTCAAAATCTCCCATTTCAGAATTTCCCATGTTTGTTTCCTGCAAAGTTTGCTATTTATCTTCGTGCTAATAAATATAAAAGGTTCCCGGCTTTTGTAGGAGTCGTTTAATCTGCACAATATTCACCAAGTAGACGACCGGTGTGATTCCAAAAATCTACACGAGACAAAAACAGACGACCACCTGTTCACCTGTTTGAGCAAATTGTCTTAAACTGTTGCCCAGTGACACACACACACACACACACACACACACACAGACACACACACACGAAGGGGGCGGAGCCTTGTCAGATCAGAGACCTGACGACGCTGTGACATTACGACCTCCTCAGCAGGACGACAGACTGAAGCAGTAAAACTCAGCTTCAGTCTGATGTAACCGAGGCCCAAAGCGCCACACAAATATAAATATTACAACCGAGCTTCGTTAATATGTTAACGGTGTAGAAAATTTGTTGTGAGATCTTTGGAAGAATGTGAAACTGGCAGAATATCTGACAACGCTTCCCCTCCATTTACTGTGGTGTAGATTTGCATTTTGGGGCAAACGTGAAACAAACATGTGTCACATGAACAAATAAAAACACATCAAATTAATGGGATGCTTCATTATAGCTTAATGTGGCAGTGAAAGGCTTTAAAACACAAGAAAAACTGTGAGAACTGCCAAAATAATACGAGTGATTCTTAAGTTTGTGATAGAAAATTAATTGGATTTTCAATTACAGCTTAAAATTACAATTAAAGACACTAAAATTCACATAAACTGTAAAAATACAACAAGTGAATTACAATAAAATGTCTAAATATAACATGAATTATCATTTTAATTACAGATTCAGGTCACAGTTAAAGACATTATCGTTTGAACATAGATGAATCTTTCTTAGATGGTGTTTAAAACGTTTTTGTTTCAGCAGCTTTACTTTTGCTTCCTGTCATTGTTTTTATCCCCTGATTATTATTATTAATGAGAGTTAAGATGTAAATGCGATGACAGAACACGGCTCTGTTGCGCTGCTGCTTTAGTGGTGGTGCAGTTTGTGTTATTTCAAAACTCACTTCTGCTAGAAAATGGGATCATTACATATTTGCTTTCATATTTGTGTCTGTGTTTATGTTGTTGTGTGTAAACAGCAGCTGAAAATGTCCGGTTTCAGATATTAGATATTTAATTATCTTAACTAACTTGCTCTTTAAAATATTAGTGGCATCATTATCATTTTATTCAGAATCCATGTCAGAGCAGCTTTTATGAGTCCCAGAGCCTCAGTGGAAGCGGCTGTGCTCTGATTTTCTTTGTAAACAATCCTAAATTTAATTTGTGATTTAAACATTTTTGTGCGTGACACGATGGTTTACTGAGACGTTACATCCATGTGTTAAATCAGTCAGTGAGAATCATTCATTCATAACGTCAGACTGAGCAGCAGACTGAATGATTTGTAAAGACGGACTTGATTGCGGTTTTATTGCTTCCTTCTTGTCGCTGAGTTTCACCTCAGTGACCCCTCAGACTCAGTCACACACCCCTCAGCTCATTGGTCAGCTGCTGCAGGGCTCCGCCTCCACAGCGACAGCTTTATAAAGAGGAACCAAACCCAGGAGCTGAACTTACACAGACTGGCCCTTTAAACACTCTCAGCTCTGCTCCTCACACTGTTTTATTTTAATCCCCCCTCTTGAGGTGCCTTCCTTCTCTTTTATCGTCTCTTTGGTTCAACCTGCGGTGGACTCTGGGAGACGTTTTCTGTCATCAGAGGGACTTTTGAAGACACTTGTTGCCTGATGGATCTGTCAGACTTTCCTTTCCCTCTCTCGTCGGCCGACGACCTCTACGACCCCTGCTTCAGCACCAGCGACCTCAACTTCTTTGATGACCTGGACGCCCGGCTGATGCACGTGGGCCTGCTGAAGTCGGAGGACCACCTTCACCACCACGTCCCCAGCGCCGAGGAGGAGGACCAGCATGTTCGGGCCCCGGGGGGCCTCCACCAGGCGGGCCACTGCCTGCTGTGGGCCTGCAAGGCCTGCAAGAGGAAGACGACTCATGCCGACCGGAGGAAGGCGGCGACGATGAGGGAGAGACGGCGGCTCAGTAAAGTCAACGACGCGTTTGAGACCCTGAAGCGCTGCACGGCCTCCAACCCCAACCAGCGGCTGCCCAAAGTGGAGATCCTGCGCAACGCCATCAGCTACATTGAGTCTCTGCAGGCGCTGCTGAGGGCCGGCCGCGACGACAGCTTCTACCCGCCGCTGGAGCACTACAGCGGGGACTCGGACGCCTCCAGCCCCGGATCCAACTGCTCTGAGGGGATGGTGAGTCCCGGAACAGCTGAAGGGCTCAAAAGGAATCAGTTATTTAGCAGCACAGTGGTTCAGTTTGATGGATTTAAACGTCAAAATGGACTTGATTTGTTTTGCACTTGAACATGACGTAAACACTTGTTCCAGAGTTGATATAATCAGTTCAAATGTGAAAGACAACCAAACAGCAGTTCTGTGTTTCAGATCAAATGCTGTTTATTTTATTCCTACATAAAATCTGAAGTTCTTTTTAGCTGCTTTGATTTGATTTCAGAAATTCACTTACAATCACCTACAAACCTGTGTGGCTTTAAGGATGATATGAATTCTTAATATAATCCATGTAAACAACATGTTGATGAGTTTGTGATGAGTCACACGTCACTACATTTTGTTATGACTTGTTTTCAAATGATAAAACTAAACATAATGTGATTAAACAGAATCAAACCTCTTGTCAGCTAACGGAGGGTTTATGTTTGTTAACTTTGGCTGATCTTTGTTTTCAGATGGATTTCATCTCTCCGTGTTCAACCAGAAGTGAAAACAGTGACGCGTCCTTCTGCAGCCAGACAGCAGACGGTGAGTTTTAGTCCCGTCACTCCGTTAATATGTTGACTTTCTGTTTTACTAGAAACCGTTTCTGTTTTCATATGACATGTTTCCATATCTGCCACCTGTGTGCTTGCTCTCTTCAGTCATTTCTCCTCTAAAATGGCTTCAATCTTCTTAAACATGAGGATTTTCATCGTGAATAAAACTGATTTATCCTTTAACATGACTACATTTAACGTCATGTGAGACTCCTTTAGGAAGCACAACCTGAGCTAACCCTTCATCTGACGTCTGTAACTAGTTTACAGTCAGATTGTCCTCTTTACAAAAAAATAATAAGACACATTTGTTCTTTTTTAGAACTTGCCTCTTGTTCGATTCAACCAAAGAAGTTGATTGAAGTCATATTTACTCTTTAACTAATCGGTTGTTGGATTTCTTTTAGTGCCTTTGACCTGCTGGCCTTATTTGCCCACATTGATTCTAAATCAGCTTTTAAAGCAGCAGAAGGAATCATTTGAACCTGATTATTTTATAGTGAACTTATACCAACAGACCAGACCACCCGCCTGCATTCATATGACTTCTGAAGATAGAACGATTTAGACAAGTTGGCCTCCCAGTGCAGCCAAACGGATTTCCTCTTTGACATGTTGCTGGTATATTACAGCCCTAACACCCTAATTTCTCCTGTTTCTTCTCTACAGATTGCAGCAGCAGCAGCAGCAGAAAAACGTCGCTCATTTCCAGCTTGGACTGTTTGTCCAGCATCGTGGAGCGGATCAGCACCGACCCGGCTGTGGCCCCCGTCGGCGACAGCGTGGTCCCCCGAGGCCCTGGGTCACCTCACAGCAGCCCGGCGGTCTCCAGTCCGCCCGCCGAACCCAACAGCATCTACGAGCCGCACTGAACCCGAAGCAGGCGAGGACTCAAATTCCATTAAGACAAACTTTTCCCTCCATTTTGAAGGAGGAGAGCAGGTGGCATCGTGACACATCGTGTAATATTCCTGTTTTCTGCAGTAAGTCGCTGAAATAGTGACGTATAGACGAGATCGCTTGTAAAAAAAACAAACAAAACCTTTTTCTCCTGAAATTTCAGTCCAGTTTCTTCAGGTTTTAGCCTCCTGGATGAACCCAAGGCTGCAGAATTCTCACCGAGGACCTTTTCCAGACTGATTTCTGCCGATGATCACTGAGGACCATGTGGTGCCGCCTGTAGTAAAGAGCCGACTGTTCACATGATGTCAAACATTCAAAGGGGTGCTGAGATTGTTGTGTCATATGTTTCTGTATTATTTATGAGTTAATGAAATTTTAATAAAGAAATATTTATATTGTGACTCCTCCTCTCCTGAGCCTTCCACGGCTTTTGTCTTCTCCGGTATTTTATTTGTTTGTTACGTGTTGTATAAACTGAAATCTTTCTTCTGAAGAAACGCTGACCTGAGTTACCTGAATTTTCTGCCATCTGGGGACACGACATTGACATAACGTCACAGTATAAGTCAAGATAACAGCTGGTTATTTACAGAATTACAGAACAACATCATTCAGAGTCATGTTTGTGTCCACTTTATGAAATCATCTCCATGATTCCCTCTCTTTTAGCTCTGTTTTTGGTCTCCACCAGCTCCTCAGGGACATTTCTGGCTCTTTAGCTGCATTAGTTTGTCTTTAACTGCGTTTATCTGCTGTTTGAGTTTAAACAGCAGCTTCTTATAGCTTTCTATTAAAAAAATATATTCAATTTACAGACCAAACAACAAAGTTTCAGATTGGAAACCCAAAACAAGCTGCAAGACACTAAACTGTTCCATCGAGCTAAAGGGAAGTGCAGCAGCAAATCGTACTCGTGTTTGTTTTCCCCCAAGCTTGTCACTTGTGCTCCATCACTTACTATCGCTTGTTCGTGTAAAATGAACTGCTCTTGACGCAACAGCTGAATGAGAATTTATTTAATGGAAACCTGCTGATAAGTTTACAGATAGTTAATGAGCTTGAATGTTTACGAATTAAAAGTAAAATTTTGTCAGAAGTAACTGATAAATATTTCTGATGCCATCAGGTTCAGGCTCAACAACAACCTGAACATATCTAACAAGAATAATGTGATTTATGTGGTATTATTATTATTACATTTTACTAAAGGTTATTTATAGTGATGATCTGAACTTATTTGGATGATTTAAAAAAATATATAAATTCCCTTTAGATGCAAGTTTGTTAAACAATATAAAACCAGAATTATCTGAAGGGTAGCTTCTAACTGTTCATTCATGAAAGTGAACTAATTAGAAAATAATCCATAGATACACATTTGGACATGTGGAGGCGAATTAATCAATCATTTTATCTCTTTATTGTCTGAACTCTCACACGTTCTTCACACAAACACAGTCACATTTTATTTTGTATTTTTTTTTTATTTCTTCTAAATTCATCCTGAAACCATTTCACTCAGGCGCTGAGACGTCCACTGGGTGCTCCAGACCTGTGGATGTCTCTGGGGGGGTCTGAGCCGCTGCTGTGGCCGACGGAGCGCCTCCTGCCCGGCCGGACCGGCACCGAGGAGCCGCTCACTTCCTGCGGCGAGAGGCGGCTCCCTTCTTGCTGCTGCAGAGCGCAAAACGCAAAGACAGAGTCAGATCTGCACAGTGACACGTTAACATCACAAACACAATCAGGGTGTTAAATAAGGTTACCCTACTGTCTTTTAAGCCTACAGCGCCCCCTAGTGCCAGGAATTATACTGCATTCTATGAACTACAAGTCTATGGGATGTAGTCACACCCTCTGATGGCTCATGTCTACATCAGAAGCAGATACCTGCCTCTGAAGATTTATACAAAGGACACTAAACGCCCCCTAAATAACTAACTTTAAAGCTCAATCACTGCAGCAGATCTCTCTTCTGTCTTAAACTCTGAATAACATTCATAACACATTGATCTGCTGAACTACTTTAATCCATCTGACTGCAGGAAATAAAAATAAAAATGTCACCAAGCAACACCACCAGTAAAGACTCTCCTTTAAGTTTTAACAGAACTAAAAGCAACCTAATAAAGTAAAGAAAAACCAGCCAACAAGCTAATAAATCACAGTAAAAAAAGAAAAGCAAAACAAACAAACAGACATTTTAGCCTTGTTCTGGTACGTATGTGGAGCTGTCTCATACAGAGTATAAACGATGTAAACTGTGCACATGCAAGCTTTAGACTGACAATCAAATCAAACGAGGTCAAGTCTCCACATTGTGATGGTGTGACACATTCACGTCCCTACAACATGAGTAACACACACACTCACATAGTGTCTGATTTTAACAGGTATGTTGAGAATGTACGCCTTATTTGATGATGAATCACAATCTTTACGTATTTTACTTACTGTTTCTGCAGCTCGTCGATGCGGTTTCTGAGAGAGATCACCTAAAAGACACACAGCTGTTATTAAAGCAGACAGGTACGTCGCACCTGTACACCGTCTCTATTTAAAGCTGCATCCAGTGTTTCCTTCAGGATGTTGCCATTGCTGCAAGACATCTTGCCAACCAGGGCGTTTGGAAACTGAGGGTTTGCTGCATCTCACATCACAAGTACACAAGATGTCCTCACTGACCTCGTATCTCTGTCTCTTGAGCTTCTCACAGTGGTCGTATTTAATGGCCTCCAGGCTGTGCAGCCACTCCCACAGCTCTTTCGCCTTGTCCCTAACAAACACAAACCAGAAACCAAAGATTTCATAAACAAGTCAAAGATAAAACAGCTGAAAATACCACGTTACCTTCCCTCTGACAATCAGAACTTTAACCCTGTTCTAACCCGTAACTCTGATAGTCCAGCATGAATAGAAATTCATCTTAATTGCTCTCTTCTCCCTGAACGTCATGCTTTTATGTTTTTTATTCCTCATATGAAGGATTTTAAGTATTTTATCAGCCTGGAATGTTTTAGATTGTTGTTTTCAGAACACATTTCTGTAGTTTTTCCATGTGAGTTGATTCTCTTCATGTGTTAGAGTTCTTGTATGGAAACGTGTTCGGCTTTCAACACAGAATAAACAAATGGGTTTGAATGGATGAAGTAGATTTTTAGTCTTCCAGAGATATCAACTATATCAACAGTGCAACATGAAACAAGTTAATGAATTTTGTCACCTCTACTATTATTCTTTTCTATTTGTATTTTAGGAATCACGCACTATGTTTCCGTACAATCTGTATGTTTCTATAATCGTCTGTTGGGAAGTATAACGCTGCCATGGACTCTGTGAGTTAGACTCTGAGCTACAAATTGAGGCGAAGCATATTACTTTTACATTAGCTATTTGCAGTGTACTCATGAATCTAGATCTAGAGACAGCTATCACTGGATCTGTTTGACACTTTAAAAAAAACTTGAAAAAGTGACGATTCTCCGGATGGAAGGAGCTTTTTCTGTGATTACTGAGACACATGGACGTCTGTTTTCATGGTTCTCTTGGTGATCGATATTTCTTTGTCTTACGTCTTTGTCTTCATTTGTGATTTAGTTATGAGGCAGAAGAAGAGGAGATGGAGGGGCAAAGTCTAGTCCAAACAGGAAACCATAGTTTTATTTTGTCTTAATCCTTAGATTGACATTTTATTCTTGTATGTTTTGAAAATGTGCATGAGGGGGAACGGATGAATAAATGCTGCAAGTTTCTAAAGTTCAGTCAGTCAAATTTATGTAGCTAAATACTTTTTTTTGGCATTTTTATGAGTGAGATGCTTTTTGGTAATCGAGAGTCATATGGTGGTCGTCCTGTCTTCATGTGCCTGGAGCTGCTGGGTCATTTGGTGCTTTGTTTCTGCTCCTCTCACTTGATAAATATCGATTGTACCCCAACAAACAATGGCAAATGCTGACTGTGATTCTCTGTGGGATACCTCAGCTTGTCCTCGCTGAAGCTCTCGATGTTCAGGGGTTTGATTCTCTCTGCCAGAACCTTCTTCTTCTTTTCTCTTTCAGTCTGCTTCTTGCCTCTCTTCTGGTCAATCTAAAAAAAAGTCACACTGGTTAAAAACTCCATGTGTATCACAACCATCTTGCTTCCTGCTACAGATCATAACAGAAATGAGGAGAAATCCCACCCTCTGCAGGTGGCTGCTGTAGCCTGATCCCATGTTGCTCAGCGCGATCTTCTTCTTGGCGTCATCATCAGCCTTCCTCTGGGCGTCGGCCTCCTCCTTCCTCTGCCGCTCAGCCTGTGGAATGAATTCAGAATATCACAAAGAGCACAAGCAGAAAGATGTCACGCTTAGTTGGTGCTGTTGCTTTTGTCGTCCTCTGATGTGTTATTGTTAATCTGTATCTCCGACTGAAAGCAGTTGCGGGACTGTTTCAAGAATGACGTTCTGGACTGAAGCTGTGAACGAGGGCATGTTAAAGCTCAGAGACTGGAGCTTCATACCTCCCGCCTGGCCTGTCGCTCTTTATCCTTCTCAGCACGAATCCTCTGCTGCTCAGCTCGCTCAGCGCGACGCTTCTCCTGAAAACACAAATCAGAACACAGCGCTTCAGCAAATGTTTTTAGCTGGTTTATTTCCACATGTGTTTATAATGGAAGTACACATAGAGGGGATGTGATGAAGGGCCTCCTGTAGTTTTAAGTTGGGTTCAACTCACAATTCTTTCCTTGAGAGCGATGAGTTCCTCCTCCTCCTTCTTCCTGCGCTCAAAGTGATCGTCGATCAGCGACTGCAGCTCAACCAGATCTTTGTTTTGACGTTTCTTCTGGATGTCCTGTTGGAGAAAGACATGAGGTCGCCTTCACAGACTAGTAGCTGCTGCAGGGAGTTTTGACAGACTGCTGGTTCCAAACCAATCTGAAACCAGCTGCACCTGCTGTTTGTTAGTGACAACTTATAATATAATTATATTATTGGTCACACAGAACACATGAGCAAGTCTGATGAGATTGCAGTACTCAACCTGCAGTTTGTCTTATGTGTGGTTTAGTTGGCACTAGATATTTACTGTAGGGATGTTCCTAATGATGCTCAGTGTCACAGAAATCTAAATTAAACTGGTTGACTCGTCTAAATGTAAGAAAACAGTCAGAAAACAGTCAAACACAGTTTAATCTTTTGCTTTTGAGACCCATGTGGAGCCATTCATCTTAGTCTTCAATAACTGAGTTGTATTTTTTTTATTGATAATGTGCTAATTTTCCATCTGTTCCAGCTTCCATCTTGCTGGTTTAGAACAGAGGGAGGTTTGGCTGTTAACATATTAATGTAATAGTTCATCAACATTGTCCAATAAAATATCAATAACTACTTTAACCGACTAGTGGAGGCTCGTGGAGGTTGCAATGTCTAATTTTTATATGACTGACTGCATGTGCCCCTCAATCCTTTACTGAGTCCTTCCTAAGTCCTTAGTGACTCGTAACTAGTTTAAAACAAATGACTTATTAAATTAATTGCACCATTAAAATGTAGGAAAGCAGTAAGCAGGTCTGCAGCATTACAACTTCTAAACGATAGTTTTGTAGACGCAGTGGTACATCTTCGTATTTTGGTTTATTTAAGTGTGCATACATTTTGAAATATGTGTTTCAGAGTTAATGATGCTCACTGAGTTTATAACGAGCATCTCCTGACCTCACCAGACCTGCTCTGGTCTCTTGACCTGTGTTTATAAAGCTGTGGTGGACTTTGATGGTGTTTTTCATTAGAAAACTGTTTGTTCCCGTCTTGTTTTCTGTTGCTCTGATTCATGGTGTCATGGAGGAATTGTCTTCAAAGGTCTTTAGGAGGGCAGCAGAGGTCTTTGTAGGTACTAATTAGGGCAGGTGGGTAATGCTGTGTGACTGAAGGAGGTGCACGAGCGAGACTGGAGGGGCTGCAATGCTCGCTAGATGCTACAAAGAAGGAAAATAATATTCTGATTCCACATATCTCTCTGTCTCATGCATCAGGGAGGACTGTCCTCAGGAATACCACATTATTCTATTGTGTCGTGCAAGGTTGTTTGTATGTTTGTTTGTTTTTGTATTTGCCTGTTCAGACTATGATGATGCACATTACATTTGGACCAAACAGTCAGTGTGGAAGAGGCATAAACTCTTCGTCTGGAGGTAGAATTGCAACAAACATTCAGTCCTTTTCTGCTTCAAAGCTTACATCAAAGTCCACTTTCTCGCCATCGGGGATCTTCGGAGCAGTGGGTCTGTTGAATGAGGACACATACGAATATAACATAATTAATAAACCACACATTAGTGCCACTAGTGTGAAAGCAAAACGTTTCAGCTACAAATGAAATACAGTAAATGTCCTCACTTGAACTTTGGCTTCTCTTCTGGTTTGTCGGCATCCAGACAGCAGCAGGGAGAGAACAGAAATATTGAACCATCAGAGACGTAAATGTAGAGCGAGTGTAAAGATCTGCTGGTTAATCAGGGACTAGATCCATGTGGACAAGCTGAGTTACGTCTGAGGGCTGCAGGTTGTTTCACACCTCCAGTCGGTCATTGTAATGTGAGAGTGAGTTGTAATTTTAGCAGGACTTTCCATCAACAGTGACCTAATTACTGCACATCAGCCTCTTAAATACACAGCAATACTGCCTGGAAACGTACACAGGGACTGCAGTTAAAAGGATCAATAAACTCTTATGAATAGTTTGAACTGGCTGATAAGCTGCTAAGCTCAGCCCAAAACATCGAATCAATCCGAAGTGTAAAAATTGTTGTTTTACAGGCGGTTATTTGTTCGGCTGCACAATCGTGGCCACAATCATAATGGTGATGATTTTGATCAATACTGAGACCACGATCAGTGAGTATTTAGGTATTTGTAGTGCACTTTTATATTTAAATAAATGAAACTCATATTTTTCTTCCATATTGTACTGCACTCCTGCAATGGTGCAAATATTTCCTTCAAAATAAGACTTAAAATATGTTTCTTCTTCACTTGAATTCAGTTCATCTCTTGGAGGCAAAATGACTGAATTAATTGCACCCAAAGCATCTTAAGCTAAGCTAAGCTAAGCTAAGCTAAGCTAAGCTAAGCTAACCAGCTCCTGCAGTAGCTTTGCATCCAGCAGACATGAAAACAGCTAATGACAAGCTTATTTCCCATCATGGCAAACTATCTTTTATGTAAACACTCTCAGTACTAATAGCTGAAGTCGTATTGCTGTGCATTTTCTTTAAGGTTCAAGGTTTGTACACAGAAACAAGGCCACTATCACATAAGATGTTACCTTACTGTTCTATCCCACGATGTTAATTTGTTGTGCATTAGTGTGTAAATCAAACCAGTGTAATTTAAAAGTGCTAATCAGTGTCATGACTCACCACATAAAACTATTTAATAAGGTTGTGAATAAAGTTAAACTTTCTGAACAGACAGTACGTCAGCGCACACGTTTCACAACATGGGGCTTTGAATATGTAATTACTGTTAATTGTTTCTCGTGATAAAGACACAACCGGGTTTGGGAGGTGTGTGATTAGCTTTTTATTTGTTTTACGGGACCCTCACACTGAAATAAAAGAAACAGACAACACGGGAGGGGAGAGGAAAAAGCAGGCAAAGCAACAGCGACCCAGCAGGAAATACAAACTACCATCTTGATCTCCCTCGTCCACTGGCAGGACACATTCATGCAAAAAAGAGAAGAAGCAGAGATGAGCAGTGGGGCCCGAAACCATGACTCAGCATTTATGAATCCTTCACCCTGTTCCTTCACGTCGCCTCGGTCGCCTGAGACTAAAGCGAACTGATTAAGTCTGTGTTGTTTTTTTTTGTTTTTTTTTTTCTCTCAAGGAATATCAAAGACAAATAAGTGACAGGGAGACAGATAACAGGTCCAATCAGAAGAACAGAGAAGAATTCAAATGGACATACCTTCCTCTTCATAGGCCTCTGCATGCAGCAAGCGTCCAAAGCAAGAGCAGAACAGAAAACATTAGTGATCGAAGTGGGCAGCCTGTTCCTGTACTCTTTACGATGCACAGCTCGTCAAGCTCATTTACAGATTGGGATGTTCGTGTTCCGGTTGGTGAGGCAGTGGCAGCTGCTGCACAAGTCCACCGTCCGCTTCATGCTTTTAATATTCCTCCCTGTTTGTTTTCTGAGGGACGGCTGCATGTTTCCGACGAGGATGTTGGTCTGAGCTAAGGATTCCTTCCTCTACAAGAGAGCAAAGCACCCAAACTGAAACTCAGTGAAAAGTTTGGAGTCATTTCAGTTGTTCTGACTCTCCTCTCAGTTGCTTTACAGTTGTTTTAATTTCTGTTTTTATTTTATGTCTGTAGCCGTTTGCAACTCTGTGATCTTTTGCATATTTTTGCAATGATTTAGTGTCACTGCGATCGGCTTTGGTCTTCCTTCCTGGTTGTTTTATCCTATTATGAGTTATGTTATATATCTTTTTGGTTATTTTGTGCGTTGCTGGCAACTTTTTGTGATACTTTGCAGTCTTTTTCCAATCATAGTAGCTCTTTACATGCAGCTTGTCACTTTTTGGGATTGTTTTGTCTCTTTTTTTTTGGTCATTTTATGATCTTTTTAAATTCGTTTTGGGCCTCTGGGACTCGTTGTGGCAGATTCACATCTTGTTTCAGTTGTTTTGTTTCTCCTTGTAACAGCATTTTTTTAAGTTGTTTTACATCTATTTGCAGTTGTGTTGCACCTGTTTGTGGTTGTATGATGTCTCTCTTCAGAAATGATGTGATGTTATTTCACATCAGTTTGTCGTTGTGCACCTATGTAGAGTTGTTTTGTGTCTCTTTGGGTTCATTTAGGATTTCTTTATTGTTGTTTGTGTCCTTGTAGTAGTTACAGATCTTTTCTAATACAGTTTTGATCTTTTTTCAGTTGGTTTGAGAACCTTTGCATGTATTTGTTTCACTTTTTAATAAGAAATGTTAACAGTTGTCTAATCTCTCCATGATGGTGTTCTATCAGACAAAGTTCACCAGCACTGGTGACTAGATCAAATCAGTCAACACACTTTAAATGAGCATATAAATGTTTTCCTGATTAGTTTTGTGTTGGTTTTGAAGCACCGATTTTGTCCTGTTTGTGGCCAAAGCCTTGCCGGTCGTGGCTTGTTTTCGGCTGCTGTGGAGACTTTCTGCCCTCTAGTGGTCAACAGTGGCTCACTGCAGATTTACTTTCATTCATCCAACAGTGTAAAACTTGGAAATTGAAGCATTGGCTCACTTAATGTACATGAAACCCTGGGACTTGTGCAGCGGCTCCATCTGTAAATAAACTTGGAACGGATCAAATACACACATAAACAAAACCAGAATGGAGAAGATGATCGTTTTGCATCACAACACCCCAATGTAAATGCTTTCAAGCAATCTGCCAGTCTCACTCTACAGCTACACAAAAAGATGCTAAACATGGACTGAAGGGAGGCGAAGAAATCACTTTTACATGACTGAAATTACCCATCATCCTTTGTGCTTTGGCCTTGAAGAGTGACACATGAGTTTGCCAAAATGCAAACAATGGAGATGACCATTAAAAACAACATGAGACACTGAAATGAATAGAAGGCCACGGATGAAAGAGGGCAACTGTTTCATGTAAAGGCAGCTGAGTTTCATCTTCTCCCTTTCAACATTTATATGCACAGCTCATATTCAAAACACATACGTAGCAGTAATGCTGGAACAGGACAAACTGTTTGTCAGCTAATGGTGATACAGAGATGTGATAACTGTGGATGTCTGTAAAGTGAATGTTTGCTGCAGGAAGGTCAGGGAAGGACTAGGAGATAGAGAAGGGTCTTTAAATGGTCTGGAAAGTGATAAATCTGCTGCTTCATAGAGAGTTGTGCTTGTTCAGGTTGTGGTATAGGGAAGAAGAATTTAAAGTCTTTGGCAGTGGAGAAGAAAATGTTCAATTTGTTCTGAGATCCCGTCACAAGAGGGAACACGTTAGAATCACGAAAGTCAGAAGAGTTCATCAGTTTAGAAGCATGAATGTGAGCAGCAGTATGCAGTATGCTGGCAAGATAATTATAAATGTTTTTGAAATTTTGCCATGATGGCAGTAGCAGAAAAATAAATCATCAGCCACATTTCCACCAAACCCCTTCTGAACTTTTCATTGTAGGGATTCCTGACCAGGAACTTTCTAAGACTCTACAACTTTGCTTCAGCTGTTTTCTACGTTTCCACTTCAGTCTAAAGACCCATGAAT